AATTCAGTTGATGTTGTAGCTGTGTTGACTTTAAAAGAGAAGGGTGTGGCAGCCCAGCCTGGTAATTCCACCTAATCAGGAAACTAAGGCAGGAGGATCGAAAGTTCAGTGTCAGCCTGGGCACATTAGCAAGACTTTGTCTCAAAGTAAAACTATAAAAACAACTAGGGAGGAGCTAGGGATTTAGCCTGCCTTGCAAGCGCACAGTTGTGAGTTTGATCCCTGGTACCAAAAAAAATAAAAACCAACTAGGGAGAAAGCCCAGTGTTTCCTCCACCAGTACAACAACAACAATGTCCCCATATATTTACCAATCAAAGCTATGAGGCTAAGCTGCCAGTAGTTACACTCTACTTCTCAAGGGGTTCGTAAAATTGGCCCCCAGGCAGTTATGGCTCCCAAGTACCTGCTGCTCTTTCCCCAGGCCAGGTGAAGGGCTACATGTTCCTCCTGCCTGCCACATCCCTGGGACCCAACGCTGTCCCTGGGCTGGGAAGAGGAGGCGAAGGCATGACAGCCCCTTTCCCTCTCTCTGGCCCCGTTACCAGCAGTCATGCTGACCATGGCTACTCCTGTCTCCCCACTGTTTCGAGATCTTCTACCTGTCACCCGGCCTGGAGGGATCAGGAACGTGCATTTTATACTCCTGGTACTCGGCTGCTCTTCAGTACAGGCCGCTGTGCCTATATCACTGACTTCGGGAAGCTGGGAGAAACTCCAGCTGCTACACCATTTCAGTCCACAGAGGAGAAAACAACAGATTACAACAGCAACAAATGTTGACACTCTGCATGGCAGTACAGTGGGCTGGGTGCTTCATAGCCATCATCTTATTTCATTCCTCTGACAAACCTAAGAGGAAGTATTATTATCCTCATTCTTAAAATGAGAAATTTGCTACTAAGATTTTTTAATTAAGAAATTACTTGGCCTGTTCAGCATAACCTAAGTATTTGTGGGTAACAGAAAGAGAATCTGAGCCTGGCTCTGCAGTTTCTCAGGTCACTCTTGTCTCCAATAAAACAATCCAAAGTAATCCCAGAAGTCTGGGAGACTGAGGCAGGAGGATCACAAATTCAAGCCCCTCCACTCAAAAAAAAACCACACACACACACATTCAAGCCCACTCTGGGCAACTTTGCAACTTAGCAAGATCTTGTCTCAAAATAAAATATAAAATAGAGCAGAAGATATAGCTCCTGGGGAAAGCCCTCAGTTCAATCCCCAATACCACAAAAAAAACTGAAAAGATCAAGATGTAATAGGACTGGGTTACTGCTCAGTGGCAGAGGGCTTGCCTCACACATTCAAGGCCCAGTGCCACAGAAAACAAGCAAGTACGAGGCACTTCTCATGTACCTACAGGGCAGCAGACCCTGTGCTGGGACAGAGACGACCAGCTGGGCTACCAGAGAAATGGAACATCAAACCATGCTCCAGGTAAGAATATGGTCCACAAAGCTCCATCTGCAGGAGGCCCAAAGCTGGCCTGTAAGCCTTGCTTAGGCCTTGATGTCCTCCAGGAAATGGGTGTGGGCTCCAGGAAATGGGAGAAAGGCTCCACACAGTACTCTGCCCATTTCGAAAGTGAGGACTCAAAGTAGCAGGAATTGCAGGGATTGCCTGATACACAGCTGGACCTCGAGGCCAAGAACATCTCGGTTTCTTCCAGGACAGTCCCTGGGTCAAAGAAATCGCCCTCCAATCCCCCCTGGACACTGCAGTCATTCAGACAGCATCTTCTCACAGGACTTTTTCTATGAAGCTTCGCACAACAGCCAAACCTTTGGCTGTTGGATTTGGATTTCATTCCTTTTCTCTCCTCTTTTTGATGAAGACAAGCTGGGGCACAGACCAGCTTCTGAGGAAAAGACGGGCACCTGGCAGTGAGAGTGGATTGTATTACAGCTGTGCTCCAGGCAAGTCGTGAGGGGACTGTCCACATCAAGACGAGGGGGAACCACGATGATGGCCATGCCGTGACACTGCCCAGCCCTCTACACCCAGTGCCTCGAAACTCTGCACACATGGGCGGATTGTGTGAGCCCCAGAGCTTGCACAGCTTGAGGGGCCCTTCCTAGGAGAAAACTTCTGGCGCAGGATTTCTACAGGGCTTTGGCAGGGCCCTTGCATGTGAAGAACCCTGAGCTCCACGGTAAAGGGACTGTTGTGCCTGAGACAGCTGACACCTCTCATTCCCCTTTATAAGAACTGAAATCCAGGCTTTGAGAAGTGACATAATTTTCCCAAAATGCAAAAATTGCAAATGGCATAGGGTGTTAGACTAATCTCATGTATGTTTCAGTTGTGGGACTCTAACAAAAGTGAAATTACTAGCTGGGTATGGTGGTACACACCTGTAATCCCAGCACTCAGGAGGCTCACTGCAGAGTCTGAGACCAGTTGGCTTTTAGTGAGCTCAAGGCCAGCCTGAACTGCATAGTGAGACCCTGTCTCAAAAAGACCAAAACAAATAAATAAAATTACTATCATTTTCTTTTCTTTCTTTCCCTCTTTTTTCTTTTGAAAAAAGGGTCTCATTATGCAGCTTAGACTGGCCTTCAATTCACTTTGTGGCCCAGGCTGGTCTCAAACTCACAATAATCCTCCTGCCTCTGCCTTCCAAGTGCTGGGATTACAGGATTACTATCATTTTAAGTCAGTAACAAATGCTGGAGGGGCTGTAAGGAAAAAGGAACCCTTCTACATTGTTGGTGGGACTGGTGCAACCACTCTGGAAATCAGTGTGGAGATTCCTCAAAAAAATAGATTGGAGGTCCCATTTGATCCAGCTATTCCCCTTCTTGGTATCTTCCCAAAAGAATTAAAAACATCATACCACAGGATATATGTACACCCATGTTTATAGCAGCACAATTTGTAATAGCTAGATCTTGGAAACACTGAGGAATCAATAAAAAAGATGCAGTATTTTTATACAATGCTGTACTACTCAGCCATAAAGAGGGATAAACTGTACAGTTTTATAGGTAAATGGATGCAATTCCAGATTATACTCATAAATGAAATAGATCGGACACACATGTGTAAACACCGTATTGCCTCACTAGTATGAGAAACTGAAAGAAACATGTGTGTATGTTTTTATATATATACATATGTATAGTAGTTAAGATAGTTACACCTCAGACAAAGGTGAGTTCACTAAAGAGAAAGATTTGTGCTGATATTCTTCGGACAATTGAATGCAAATGTCTTGTGTATTGGGAATGACAATGTGCAATGTATATACCATTACTGCCACTGATTGATGCATTTTGAAATTCTGTTTTACTTTTTCTGTTTAAAATAAAACAGATTTGGAAAAATAAAATTACTACCATGTAGTAAAAACCAATTCTATCCCCAGAGAAGCATACCTGATCCTTGACTAACCCTTTTCACTTTCTACATACATCCCTCATTAGTACCTCCATTTACAGTTAGGGAACCGTACAAGATGAGCCAATCAGCCGCCTGGCCACCACTCTCAGCCACGCCAGTCCTCATCTCCCCCATCCCACATCAGGAAAGGGCAGAATGACTCGCTCTGACTACAGATCTGTCCACTGAAATCAGCCCTGTCCTTTCGTGACAGTGCCACAGGGTGCCATGCTCCAGGGCTGGGGCGGGCAGTTCTGAGGTCTCCTACTGTCACTTCACTGAAAGACAGAGGCCTTCCTCAAGAGAGCCACTGGGAAAGGCCAGGACAAACTCCAGCCTCAGCCAGCTGCCTACACCCACCCTGAACCCTGAAAGACCCCAGGAATCACGACTGGCCACACTGTCCAGCTCCTCACCCTACAGGGTTCCCTGAGACAGCCTGCAAAGCAAGGAAGAAAATCCACATCAAACTGACTATCGAACTGCTGAGCCTAGCCACTCAAAGCAAGAGGTAGACATCCTCAAATATATCTCACCATGGCTTTGGAGCTCAGGAACTGCAGTATCTGAGAATCTCACTTGGGCCAGCCTTCCTTTTCCTTAGCACTATGAATTTATTAAAAATTAAATAGTGTTTGCTATTTTTTGTGTTGTGGGTACTACCAGGGCTTGCTTTGCACAGAGCTACATCCCCAACCCCTTTTATGGTTATTTATTTTGAGACAGGGTCTTCCTAAATCACTAAATTGGCCACACTTGATTTAACTTTAGATTCTCCTGCTTCAGCTTCCTTCGTTGCTCGCATTACATGTGTTTGCTGTCACACGTGGTTCCTGCGATGGCACTTTTTCAAAAATTGCCTTTAATTGCTAGATTCCTAGTAACTGATTACTTCTGTAAACTGTTAAAGTAACGTTGCTGTCTGGCTAAGATAACGTTACAAGGATTACCGAGTCCAGCCGGCACAGGTCTGAGCTCTTCATCTGCCCGCCCGCAGCAAGTGCAGACCTGTGGGAAGGCTGAGGCTGAGGCTGAGGCTGAGGGCGCGGCGGAACGGCTGCGTAATTTTTTTTTAAGGGAAAAAGTGATCCCCCGAACTCTCTCCCGTTCCTCTTTCCCCAGGGCTTGGCGAAGCCGGGGCAAGGGCAGGGACATCGTGGCCAGTGAAGGTCAGCTCCCGGCCCGCAGCGCGCCGGGGCCTGGCCTCTCCGTCTACGCGCGTTCGCGCGCCGGACGCCAGCGGGGAAGGACGGTGGCGCCGGGCAGCGCGGGCGGAGCACGAAGAAAGGTCGCCCGGCCCGCGGAGGAAAAGTCTCTCCGCGCCTTTCATCGGTTTTGTTTCTTCACGATAGGAAAGGAACCGCTGGGCCCGGCTGAGATTGGACTCTCGGAGAGGCCGGGAGAATGCAGACCGCCGCCGGGCGAGGCCTTGCGGGAAGCCAGCTCCGCAGTCAGGTCGCCGGCGCGCAGGGCACACGGCCGTCGCCCGCGCCCCAAGCCCAGGCCCAGGAAGGCGGGGTGGGGGGCGCCCCAGTCCCGAGGTCCCGCGCGCGCCCCGGAGCCCGGCGAGGTCCGCGGGGGGCACGCGCGCACTCGCGCACCCCGACCCGCCTCACCTTCTGCACCGCGCGATCCACGGCCTTCTGGAAGACTCGGGCCACGAGCAGTGTGACGCTGGTCACCAGCAGCAGCAGGGACAGCGTCCCCGCCGCGTAGAAGCAGCATCTGCCCATGCTGCGCGGGGAGAGCGCGGGGGCGCCGCCGCGGTGGCCTCGCAGGAACTCGGGCTCGCAGCGCGGCCTCCCGGGGCCGGCGGGGCTGAACCGGGCTCCCTGGCCGGCGGCTCTGGGGCCGAAGGAGGGCGCGCAGGCCGTGACGAGCGCCGCGACCCGGAGCAGGGACAGCGGGGACCGCGGGGATGGGAGGACGGCGGGGCCTGGGGCGGGACCGGCGCGGTCACGTGCCCCGCAGCGGAACCCGCGATTCGGCCCGCGCCGCTGGGCGGTGTCCTGCGTGCCTGGCGCTGCCCTGCGCTCAGAGGTTCTGCGGACCGGGATTCGGGAGGGACGCGGCGTTGTCCCTGCTCGGGGAGCTCCGGGGTCGCCTGGGCGCGGTCGCGGCGATGGCTCCGCAGTGCAGTGAGGCGAAGCGAGCTCTCCGATTGCGTGGCCGGGGGAGCTGGGTGGAAGGACGTGTGCCAGGTTCTAGGGAAAGAGAAGTGTCCAGCCGGGCTTGCCCAAAGCCACACCTGCAGTCGCGCACTCCAGGGGGCTGAGGGAAGAGGGCCGCAAGTTCGAGTACAGTTTGGGCGTTTTCGCACCTCTGCGAGATCCTGTCTTTACTAGAGTAAAATAGAACAGAAAAAATAAAATAAGCTGAGGATGTAGCTCAGTGCAAACCCCAGTACAATCAGTCAACACAGGAAGTCTGCACAGAGAAAGGAAGGAGGGCCAGCAGCGCAGGCAGTAGAGCAGCAGGACTGCGGGAGGCCGGGAGAAGCCCGAGCGCAGGGGTGGCGGCGGTGCAGTGGGGTCCTGCAGGAAGGGCGGGGACCGGTTGCCAGAAGCTTAGCGCCTCAGGCCGTGACCTGTTCAGTTTGCTCGCCACTGCCCTACGCACTCAGGCCAGGGCTGCCCAGTAAACGCCAGCCAGTGAACGAGCTTCTCCTGTGCTCCACTCACCCCTCGGCTAATGTGACTCGCTTGATGTGCCTGTTCCTGTCTTCTAGAAACAGTGCTAGCTGGGAGCACTGCCTTGGGTCACTGGTCCACAGTTGGGTGGGGAAGCTAAGCTCCTGCCCCCACCTGGGGATACAAATCCAAAGACATCCCAGCAGGAGAGGCAGAGCCTCACTGCTCACTATGCTCTGTGCCCTGGAAGATCTGAGTAGGACATTTTCTTGCCACCGGAGTACAATGTACAGTGCCATCCTCATCCTTACAAATTCAGTCAAACAGAAGGAAAACAGTCCAAGAAAAGCTCCGCTGGTGCTGAGTGTACTGAGCAGTTAGAGCTGGTCTGGCTGCTTCCACACTGAATAGACCACCACTCCCAAACCATATGATGTAACAACTATTTACACACTAACTGCAATGTCTGATACTGTCAGTATGCTAGAATGGGGATGGCGAACCTTTTAAGAGACGAGTGCTCAAACTGCAGCCCCAAACCCACTTATTTACTAAGTGCAAACGCTGCAATTAAACCTGAATACCACAATGGGGTTTTAGTTTAGAAAAACAACTCATGTGCTAACATCATTTGTCTTAAAAAGAAAACAACATGTATGCAATAGGTTCACCACCACTGTGTACAAGAGGATGTGTGTAGGTTCAGTGCAAGCACGATGTAGGGGATTTGAGTGCCCAGGGATTGTAATATCCACTGAGTGGGGGAAGTTCTCCAAGCAGGCTGCTGTGAATTCTGTTGGACACTATATTGTCCTCATTTTACACACGATGAAACCAGGTTTCCTAGTAACCAAACATGTTCAAGGTGGATCCTGCCTGGTCCAGAATACAGAGCTGGTCACTTCCAAAGTTCTGAATGTTTCTATCTCCCCATGCCCCCCCCCCCCCGTGTGTGTGTGTGTGTGTGTGTGTGTGTGTGTGTGTACTGGGAATTAAACTCAGGACCTTGTGCTTGGCAGGCTATATCCTTGGCCCAACTCTCAATTTTTCTACTCTGCTGTCATTAATGAGAACTTGGGACAGGAATCAGGAAGCTTTGCTGAGATGTGGTGGTGTGATGGACTGAAAATGGTGATGATTTCTTTGTCCTTCTTATATTGGAAGGTAGAGTCTGTACCTTTTCCTTTGGAATTTGGATTGCACTTCGTGATTTGTGAAGTCATAGAACATGGAGATGAGTACAGCCTTCCAAAGTCAGATCACAGATGCTTTGCAACTTCTGCCTGGGCCTCTGAGGACCCCTGCTCTTGGAGTCCCAAGCCACCATCAAGTTCAACTCCCATTGGATGGCTGTGCTGGGAAAGTATGGGAGAAACCACAGGCAGAAAGAAGAGAGTCCTCCAGGCTCTCAGCTGTCCCCTGCCATTTGACTCAGGCTCTAAGCATTATGGAGCAGAGATCCATGCTGATTCCTACTGGTAAGACAAAAACAAAAAATTCTTGTCCTATGCCTCTAAGTATTGGTGTGCTGTTGTATCAGTCAGCTTTCTGTTGCAGGACGAAATACCTGCTGTAAACAATTTAAAGGAGGAAGGCCTATCTGAGCTCATGGTTTTGGAGGATTCATTCAGTCCATACCCTGCTGGCTCCAGTGCAGAAACATGGCAAAAATCCCTGGTGGAAGAAATCTGCTCAATTCATGGCAGACAGTAAGCACAGGGAAAGGAAAGAACCAGAGAAAGAAGTAAACCCCCAGTGGCTACTTCCTTGACTTAGGCCCCACATTTTTTTTTTTAAACTGGGAATTGAACTGAGGACTTTGTACTTGCCAGGCAGGTGCTTATGCCCCTGAGACATATCCCCAGCCCTGGGACTCACCTTCTTCTTTTTGTTTTGGTTTTTTTTTTTTAACTTTTAACTTTTTATCGGTACTGGGGATCAAACTCAGACCACCTGCTTGCAAGGCAGGTACTTATGCAGCTGAGCTAAATCCCCAGCCCCCTGGGATTCGCCTTCTAAGGCTCATCCTGCCTTGAACTCATTACTGGGTTAACCACAGATGAGTTTGGAGCCCTCATGATCCACTCACCTCTGAGGCCCTACTCCTGAGCACTGCTGTATGGGTGATGGAGCTCTCATTACATGAGTCTATTTGCACCCTAAGAAGTGTATTACTTGGTTACAGGTGATGGGCAGAGACTGCAGGATGGCCAGAGGCCATGTCATTGGCAGTGACTCTGGCTGTCCCCTCCTGGTTTTACCTGGCTATGGTTACCAGCAATCTTCAAGAACCAGCTTTTGTGTGTGAACAGAAGCTGGGTTGGAGTTCTGGAATGACAGCTGTTCATACCTGGTGGTGAATATCCCTGAGTGGCCCCAGTACCAATGTGTGCACAGTCAGCAGCCCTGCCATGGCCATGGTGTGTTGTATCTCTAGCTCTGCCTCAGGTTCTAGGTGTCTGAACAACTTTACCCTGTGCCCCAGGTTCCTTTCCTGGCCATGCTACCTATCAGGCCTCATGTGTCCCTTCCTTGGAATTGGTCATGGTGTCTTTTCCTTCCCTAACTAGAAGAGAAGGAGTGAAAAGGCCAAAGCAGGAGGGTCGCCATGAGTTCAACCTGAGCTACAAGGCACAAACCTATCTCAAAAAAATTTTAAGGAAAACAACATAAATGAAATGTGTGCTTGACATGGATCCATGCTTAAATTGCACCCTATCTTGACACTGACACTAAAACCAAACTTTCAGGCGAGGCAGGTGGCACACACCTATAATTCTAGTACTTGGGAGAGTAAGGCAAGAGGGTCATTGTGAGTTGGAGACCAGCCTGGGCTACAAAGTGAACTCAAGTCCAGCCTGAACTACATAACAAGACCTTGTCTCAAAAAGACCAACAGCAACAACAAAACTTTCAGTTTACTGGCTCCATTCTGGAGGGCAAACCCCATACTGATCCACTCATTCCAGCCCTGACCACCAATCCTGGGCATTCTTGTCCATTAATGTCCATCTTGCCTCTTTTCTGGGCTACAAGGTCAGGAACAGACCACAAGATGAAGAGAAGGAGCCACACTTGGTCATCATTCTTAGCATGGCTCTCTCTCTCTCTCTCTCTCTCTCTCTCTCTCTCTCTCTCTCCCTCTCTCTCTGCAACAGGGTCTCTCCATGCAGTTCAGGCTGGTCTGGCAGGTACTTTGTAAGCCAGCCTGGTATTGAACTTGCAATGATCCTCCTGCCTCAGCCTCCTGGGTGCTGGGAATAAAGGAGTGCGCCGCCACACCTGGGTTAGTGAGGGCGTTTCTGAACAGGAGCTTCTCCTCCATAGTCCTCAGTTTACCTCCCGTTGATTTTGCTCTTAGTTGTATCCACAGCATCAGGCTGTTGGGAAGCTGCTTTCCCTTTAAATCTCTGGCCCAACCTGGACCAAAAAACCCTCTTTTCTTGGTTCCTTTTAGCCCTGACCAGAACAACATTTTAAAGTGTACTAAACATTAGGACAGAACAATGATGACCTAATTACAGGAAATATGAAAAATTTAAAAAAAAAAAAAAAAGAATGTCCCGTATAGCAGCCTCGCTCCCATAGCAATTTCTGTCTTATCACGATGGCCAATGCAGTTCCTGAGCACACGGCCTGGCAGTCGTTCTGTTCAGTTCCATCTCCTCCTGTGCCACATGACAGCTGACACAGGCTGCTCAGTGCCCTCTGTGACTTCCTCCTCTTTCTGACCTAGAGGACATGTTGCTGCCTCTTCTGATATTGGCATTATTATTAGTTAATCACCATGGAAGCCTCTCCTCTCCTGGTAAGGCTTCTCCCTCTGCTCCAGGGTGTGGCCACTGGCAACAGCTCACTAGAGAAGGAGTCACTGCACCACCTGGGATGGGGAGCCGGGTCCTGGCATCAGGCAGACAGGAGGAATGTCCCTGATGACCTCTTTGTTCATGAAATCAAAAAACTCGACAAGAATGAGTACACTTAGGGTTGTTGATGCCTGTCAAAATTCTACAGGCGGTCAGGACTCAACAGAAAAGAACTTTCTTCCCACATTCCAAGACAGGGTCACTGGGGCGAAGCAAGAGGGCTTTTTGAGCCCCACCTGAAATCTGGAGTGCTGACATTATACACAGACAAGGTCATTCATATGGTCACTGTGCAGTACATTTTTCTGTTGAAAGTATTCCTGTGTTCGGTATAAACACCTTAATACACCATAACTATATAACTGTCCACAGATCCAAACATAACTCTCTGTGATCTCCTCCTCCTCCTCCACTGCCTCTTCCTCCACCTCCTTATTTG